CTTCAGGGCATCTATACAGCAAGGTGTATTACCCGACCAATTAAAAATAGCTAAAGTTACTCCTATATAAGAAAACGGAAAAAAATTAAGTATTAGTAATTATCGCCCTATTTCAGTTCGTTCAACTTTTTCAAAATTTTTAGAAAGAATTATATACAATAGAACATGGCAAATTAATAAAATGGTATAAAAGTTACTTGAAAAATAGAAAACAATTTGTTTTCTATGGAGATTATTTTCAAAATGAAAAATTAATTGACATAAAATGTAGTGTTCCACAGGGTTCTATACTAGGTCCATTTTTGTTTTTAGTCGATATAAATGATTTAAATAATGCTTCTAACCTTATAAGTATCATTTTTCGGACGATACTAATTTATTTCTGTCAAACAGTGACATTTATGAGCTTTTTTCAAATATGAATAAAGAACTCAATCACATCTTTAGCTAGTTTAAGTGCAACAAGTTAACTTTAAACATTGATAAAACAAAATGGATCCTTTTCCAATCTCCTGCAAAAAAAGAAATTTTCTTCTACCAATCATTAGGAAAAATTAAGAAATTACTCGAAAATTGTTTCATACATTGGGGTCTTTAATAAAATACGTTTTGACCCCCTCCGTCGCCCTTGTCACAATATTGTAACACTTTAGTAACAAGTTCCGTATGAGCCACTAACTAGGGATGGGAAACGAACCGAACCCAAACCGAACTAGAACCTTTTTTTTTTTTTTAATTTTTTTTTTTCAAGTCATTTTTAGGCTCTGGCCCATAAAAAGGCCTCCAAAAACAGAAATAGCCCCGGACCCTAAGAAGTCTTAATCCGCCACTGTATATATATATATATATATATATATATATATATATATATATATATATATATATATATATATATATATATATATATATATATATATATATATATATATATATATATATATATATATATATATATATATATATATATATATTAAGACTTCTTAGGGTCCGGGGCTATTTCTGTTTTTGGAGGCCCTTTTTATAATTATACTATATGTACAATTATGTATAACTATAAAACATAATATAACATAATTATTATAACACATGAAATAAGTTTACAATACATAACATAATACTATTTTGTTTACGGTCAATCTGTAAGATCAATGGTTTAGACAGTGACAGTATGCGTAATTTGAAAGCAGTTTTTCTGTTCAACTTGATTAAAAAATGTATATTATTAATCCTTTGCATAAGCCATCAACACTTATTGTTTTTTCTTACAAATACTTATTTTTCGTCAATGAAGATCACAGTTTTATTTATTCAAAGATGTGCAGTATGGTAGACAAAATTATAACTTCTTTAACACCTCAGGTGATATGCTAGGGCTGAGGCAGTACAGATATGGACAGCTTTAATGAATGCAGTCATTTAAATCAACTGTCTTCTTCAAAAAAGAGTAAAGCTGACGCTGAATCGTATGATTTGCAGGCAGACTTTAAAACAGCTGCTACACCATTATCTAAGGCTGGCAGAAATGACACAAGATATGATTTTGACAAATATTTGCGCAAATTTATGAGCTAAACGACAAGCAAGGACCGAATCTGTTTCCTAAAATTCACCGAAACTAACAAAGTTTCTGAACTGAAATTTTTAGGGTACATTATTAAAAGGACAAATAATAACCTGAACCTATAACCAATGTTGGAAATTAGTTCTACTTTTTGTTATAATACATCTAGGACATAGGCGCCCGCCCATTTCTGCGGGCGTCTATGATCTAGGACAACATTCACAATTATTTGCCTCAAAATTGATCAGAAAAAAAGTTCTATCAGATTTAAATGTTTAATTGAGGTTCAAATTGTAGTCATAGCCATTCTTAAACTTTAAACACATTTTCTTTATTAAATTAGTTCAAATAACATAAGGGACTTCTAGAAAATCTCAAAATAAACAACCATTGTAACCCAAAATGATTGAAAAGTTTACGTTTTTAAACGTTTTTTTTTTTGGTTTCCATTTAAAAGTTTTGTTAATATTTCATTAAAATCAAAAAATCAAAAAAATTTAGATTTTTCGCTTATTTAATGGTAATTTAATGGTACCTTAATATTACTTTAATTTATTTGTGTTTTATGTAAATGTAATCAAACTAATAAAAAAAAATTTGGTTGTTACCGAACCGAACCCGAACTCAGCTTAAGACCGAACCGAACTCAAATACTAGATTAATCCGAACAGAAACGGACCCGATTTTTAAAAAAAGGGTTCGATTACCATCTCTACCACTAAACCCTCCCCCCTCCCTAGAGCGTGACATAATTTATGGACAACCCCTTTGGAAAACAACTTAATCAAATCAGTTACCGACCCCTTGATTCTTATTAGTTACAAAGATCTCTGACATAGACTTCAAATTATTTTCTAAACAATTTAACAAAAAATGGAATAAAATAAACAAACACAATGATAGATTTGAGTTGTATTACAGAATCTTGCTAGAAAAAGAACTACAAACAAGCGATGCATGTTTTGAAACAGATTATCAAAAAGGGCCAAAACTTGCGTTGGCTTTTCCTATTTTTTCTCACAGTTTAGGTATGTTGTATTATAAAAATTTAAGTAATGGACTCATGATATTTTTTACTATTTAATTGTGTTTTATCAAGATTTTTTACTAAATACAATCATCTGATATTTTAATTTAAATTGGAGACCACCAGGTGCGAATTTCATACCAAACAACTAAAAAAACAAAGAGGAGAGCAGAAAAAATAAAGAATGCTGTTAAAAGAAAGGAAATATTTTATTCACTTATTTTGAAACAAAAGAGGAAAAAAGGTTCAGCGATGCTAAGGTACATTATCATCTATACTATAGTCATTTTTAAATTGTCTTATTTGTAAAAAAAAAAAATCTCCAAATTACTACGTGTTATAAATTTTTCTTAGTGGATTGTATTCATCTCACTCTTCAAGTTTACATTTTAACGCTTATGGGTGTGAAGCAAATATTAAAACCAGAGAAAGATGGTGCCGTTAATTCAAAAGCAGTGTATACTGGAGAGGAAGCATTAGCTTTGATTTTGGACTGCCGATTTAGTATAGCTGATCACCAAACAATTCGTATAAGAGCAGTTTCTATAGGAAACAAATTGTATCCAACTAATACTAAAGTAAGGGAAGAAATAGCTTTATGCATAACTTGTTGTGGAATACAAATTACTAATTATTAAGCCTCAGTTGACAGAGACTTATTGACAATACTAAATACATGTTGTTAAAAATACTCAATGAATCTGTAAAGACTCCAGAGAAATCCATTCTCGTTTTTATATACAAAGTAAGATTTGATGGTTCAGCCGGCAAATCATTATACAAGCAAAGTATAGAAGACAAGATAAGTATCAGTTATGTTGAGAAACAATTTTTATTTCTTTCCTGCATTGTTCCAATTAAACTTTATACTGAGGAATCTGGCGAAACACTATGGACTAATGAAAAACCATTCTCTACACATTACTCCCGTCCACTATTACAATATGTAAAAAAATTACAATATGTAAAAAAATTTGCTGTAGTTATTACACAAGAATATATTTCCTTCAAGAACAGTAATTTGAAACCAACGGTCTTTAATTCCTTTATTATCAAACATAAGTTAGAATGTACATTGATTGATGGAAAAGTGGCTACTATAGTTTCGCCTTTAAATAAATCTTTTTAAGTATTTAGTATTAGTGGACTGACGCTTTTAAATGTGGTTCAAATTATGCATAAAATTCTAATTCATAGCTCTCGAGATGTAAGAGATAAACCAATACCAGTTTTCTTTATGAGGAAGCACAGGAGTGTCGACCTTAAAGACCTTAAAAATTTGATATCTTTTAAGGTGTTTAGGGTGCCTGAAACTGCAAAGAAAAAAAAATTATTTTTTTAAAAAAAATCTTCATGATGACTTAAGTCACTGATAAAAATTTCTAATTGACAACTTTAAAAATAAAGGAGTTATGAATTTTTGTCCACGAAAATCAAAATTTATATTAAAGCTATTTTATTCTAAAGAGAAGCTCCGCGAAATGCAATGTTTATTTTTCCGAAATTTGATTGATAAAATGGTTGCTCGTATCAGGCCTGATAATATACCTCAAGCATTCTTTTATATAAATTACTAAACCGCCGCCTCGCTTTTTATTTTAACGCTTTAAAGATATTTTATTTAAACCCGGTAAACAGGTGTTAACTTTAACCTGAAGAAAAAAAACGTATATTTTTATTAAAGTAATTTAAGTTATTGGTTATGTTTACTTATTGTATGCTAATAATCTAAAATGTTTTTTATCGAAATATTTTAATTGCTTTAAGTAGGCTTTGTTAGTTACGTGCTAAGAAAAAAGGAGTGGCAAAAATTTTTTTTGATGTCAGTAATAGTTTTTTATTGAGAAAATCTATCGGGCATCTTTCTTAATTCCTTAAGGAGAATTTCTTTATTCACTTTGTGAATTTGAAAATAACTTTTAGTGATAAAGTTTTTTTTTTTATATACCAATTTTTCTATTATAATTAGAGATTGATATTAAGAAGAAAAACAAATAAAAATTTTAAAAGTATTTGTTCTATGACAAGATTTGATAGAGAGTTAATTAGTTAAAAGTTTGTGAATATAATGACGTTGTGTGATGAAATGTAGTTTATTAATACGTTCGTCAAGGCGTATATCAAAATAAAAAAATAAAAATGAATAAAAAAAAGTAATAGAATAGAAAAAGTATAACAAAATGAATAAAAAGATATCGCATTTTAACCCCACCTGGGGTAAAATAAACAGCAACACAATACTTAAAATAAAACAAAAACATGAGCGCATAAATAACTTTTTTAACTAAAGTTGTTTTACATTCGTAGATAACGCGGTACAATTTGAATCGATTTATCCTTTCGACCATTATAATCTTTTTAATCAATAAATCTTGTTGCTTTACGTCACCTTTTGAATTTACCTTGTTTGTTGGCGGGTTTCTGAACATTAAAAAATAGACTCAAGAGAGCGTTTTTACCGTGATCTTAACAGCTAAGGAGAGTAACATTTATATATAATTTGTAGGTGCTAAGTAACCTTTTTTAGTTTTTGATTGATATGGCCTCAACACCCGATGTTCGTAGTCCTAGATATGGATACCAATCACCAAATGTTCGTACTCGAGTTCAAGAAAAAGAGGAACTTTCTGGACTTAATGATCGTTTAGCTACATACATTGATCGTATGCGTTATTTAGAGCAGCAAAATACACGTTTATCTGCAGAAATTACAACCTCGAAAGAATCGGTTACTCGTGAAGTAGGAAATGTCAAAGCAATGTTTGAAGCTGAACTTGGAGAAGCAAGGAGACTTCTTGACGAGACTGCAAAAGACAAAGCTTTACTCCAACTAGAAAATAATAAGTTAACTTCTTTAGTCGAAGATCTTAGACATAAGTAATATTTTATATTTACAAAATTTTTTAACAATATATATATATATATATATATATATATATATATTTATATATATATATATACATATATATATATATATATATATATATATATATATATATATATATATATATATATATATATATATATATATATATATATATATATATATATATATATATATATATATTAGATAATACATTAAATAAATCATTTTATTTACATTTGTTATTATTAAAGCTTGATTATATTTTTGAAAATCAGACTTGAAAAAGAAGTAGCAAATCGAAGTCGCATTGAAGAAGAGCTGAAACGTGTTGAGCGCCGGCTACTTGAAAAAGAATCTTTAAACATAGTTCTATCTAAAGAGCGAAAAGATTTGGAGCACCAAGTTAAAGACCTGGAAGATCAACTTAAAGAATATCAAGATGATTTAGAAAAAGAAAAATCTGACCATGAGAAAGAAATTATTCGTCGTGTGGATGCTGAAAATAGAGCACAAACATTGCAAGAAGAAGTTGATTTTAATGAACAAGTACATGCTAAGGTAAACATGTTAACACTGTTGAAGTTTCAATCTCCTTTTTTTAAAACTCATTTTGGTACACTGAGTTTTGAAAATCAAAGTAAAGTATCCTATTGGTTGCAAATAATATAAGTGTTGTCAGCTACAGTGCGCTGTTACTGACAACGCATATTATATTTTTTATTATATTTACAAAAGTTAGACTTTTTCATTTATAATGCAATGTAATGTAAACTAACAAAGTTTTCAAAAAAAATAAACCTAATGAAAATTTAAGTCTATCTAAAAAAATATGCAATATTGAATTTAAACTATTTTATAAAAAAAATCTGCAATGAAATATTCTAAATAATAAGGAAAGAAACTACAACTTCACTAGACTAATGTTAAATAATCTGAATAACATGACACAGATTTAGATAGCATAACTCAGTTCCGTAAAACTGTAAAAAATATTTTTTTAAAATTTGATCAGCCGCTGTCTGGCCTAACTAAGTTTTGATCAGACATTTTGTCTAGGACTTTATATAAAATTAAATTGAGCCCTGCATCCAGTTTTTTTTTTTTTTTTAATTCACTTCCCCACGGCCATGAAGGCCAATACAGTGCTCTTTAACAGCTTCTTTTGATAATACTAAATTTAAAAATTATTAAGATTGTCAATGAGCAAACTAACTTTTAAAAAGCAACTTTTTTTAATTTTTAAAAAAATCAAAGAAATATTGCATTAATAAATCCTAATGAAATTTTAATTATAAATATGTTTTTTCAAAAATTAAGTAGCAGAAGTCTTGTTCACAGTGTCATGTGTTGGTAGTGCATTTTTTCAGCCAAATGTTAAAAATACAAATCTACTAACCTCAATAATAAAAAACTACTACTACTACTACTACTACTACTACTACTACTACTACTACTACTACTACTACTACTTATGTTGCTACTACTACTACTTATGTGCAAAATTGTTTTATTGAAACTTACCATATATTTAGAATATATTATAAGTTTCGAAATGACTAAAATTGCTATTTTGAATTCCCAAAATGAGTTCTTGCTGGTCATGGTTGTTGCTGGTCATGGTTGTTGCTGGTCATGGTTGTTGCTGGTCATGGTTGTTGCTGGTCATGGTTGACTGTTTGAAAAAAATCAGAGTTTAAAAAAATATGGTTTGACAAATAATTAGGATGAAAAAAGGCATATGCATATATTTTATAAAACCATTTAGATTTTGTAAAAGCATTTAAAATAGCTTTATTGTTAACAATATGCTACTTTAATTGGTAGCAGGTCAATAAAGAAAACGTTTTAAAAGGGAAAAGTTATTAAAGGAAATTTTTTATTAATTCTTTATTTGCAAAACACCCTGGTTTTTATCTTTGTTTTTAAAATTTTGCATTTAACTTTTTATTAATAATTTTACAATTAAAAATTGGTAATTTAATAATAATTTTAATTTATTAATTGTAATACCACAAATATATTTGAAAATGAATGAATGAATTATTTTTTTTAATTAAGTATTTTTATCTAGTAGTTACTGCCTGCTGATAAAAACCAAAAATATCTTTGATTTCAAGTTTTTTGCTCTAACGGCCTTGAACCCTTTAATTTTGACAATTATTTTATATGACATATACAATTTATTTTCTTTGCTTATTTAGATTACTTTTATTTTACTGGTGGTGAAAATCCTTTTTTCATATATGATTGAATTTCTTATTTTATTATTTTATTAAAAATATTTAGTATATTATTTTAATTATAATACAATAATATATATTTAACTAATAACGTTTTGTTTTTGCATTTAATCACTTTTTTTTTTGTTTAAATCTCTTTATTCATTTTCTCATAAGTTTTTGCCAAATTGTAATAAATGAATGAATTATTTATAAATTAAATTTGTTTTAAATTATTAATTTAAATTAACCAATTGCATACTTTCTTTATAAGGTTCCTAATATATATATATATATATATATATATATATATATATATATATATATATATATATATATATATATATATATATATATATATATATATATATATATATATATACTTTATTCCCTCTGGACGATTCCAGGTCAAGCCTCACTCTTCTCCATGGTTTTCCTCACATTGTACTACTGCAATTGCCAATCAAAACCATTACTTCCATATCTATCAGCAAAACAATTCTCCAGAAATTAGACGTCTGTTTATTACGGCTAGGAACCATTGTAAAAAGGTTTAGTTTAACGCCAAAGTCCACTATTCTCAGATCATAAAATCTTGTGTTTCATCACAAAAATTGTCACCTCACCTAAAGACAAAGCTAAATTGTTTGCCAAGAACTTTTTATCAATATCATCTCTTGATTCCACTAGTTGCGTTCTACCTGATATAGCCGTCAAACAAGTTGATCCACTGCTCGACATCCGTATCACTCCAGCTTCTGTATCTAAATTGATTTCCTGCTTAGACTCTTCTACAGCTTGCGGCCCGGACAACATACCTGTTATAGTCTTGCAGAAGTGTTCTCCGAAGCTATCGTCTATCCTTTCAAAACTATTTAACAAGTGCTTATCAGAGTCTTGTTTTCCAGCCTGCTGGAAAGCAGCATCTGTTATCCCTATTTTTAAAAATTCTGGAGAGCGACCATCCCATTAGTCTCCTTCCTATCATGAGCAAGGTTTTTGAATCTTTAATTAACAAACACTTAATCTCTCATCTCGAATCTCATAACAGGCCTTGCGATAAAGTGTCGGGCGATGTGAATTTTACGTCGTCCAAGAGCGATTTTGCGTGTAGCTAGGGCTATTTGCGTCGAGCAAAAAATTTTTTGTTTGAGTATATTTAAAGATATTTTTGAGCGGAATTTTAATGAAGTAATTCACGATTATTTTAACATTTAATAAAGTATTTTAAAAACCGCACGCTGTTGAAATAAAAGTTTGAATTAAAAACAATTAAATATGCTCATTATTTACAAGAAGAAAAAAGTCAGATTAAAAAAAAAGTTTAAATCTTTTAAGCTAACATTTTAATAAAATTATTCAGCAATAGCAAAGTTGTCGATAAAATTGAACAAAAATACTTTCTTTTAGTTTTAGATTTTAAACTTAAATAATTATTTTAAGGGGGTTTGTTAGGTTTTAAAATTATTCCATAGATTTAAAAATGTTTATTAACTGTTAGACGTATTTAAAGTATTTAAGAGTAATTTCGAGGAAACATTTTAAAAATTGGTGAGCGCAAATAAAAAAAAAAAGGAATAATATTAAAACGTATTCTACTTGATTCAATAAAAAAGTGCAGTTATTAAAATTTTTGTAAAAAGTAACTCAAAAAAATTACTTAATAACGATCGCTTTTATGTTAAAAGTTACCAAAACTCAACGAAGCGTGCTCAAGAACAGCTGGTGAAAAATAAAATGTCAATAGTTTTTCGAATAATTTTTAATAATAATTTTTAAGAATAATTTTTTCGCTGAAATATTTCTTTTATACCTATAAGATTTTTATTCTAACATTTTATTTTATTTTACTAGAAATAAAATTCCTTCAAAACGTCACAAACGTTGAGAAAATAAACAAATGTTTTTACATTTTAAAAAACGAAACATTCCAAAACATTTTTAAATAATAACATTTCTACATAAACGATTTAAAGTAGTTTTGCAGTAATTAAGTAAATTGGTGCAGTTAATGTCGATAAATATGAAAAGCAAATAAAAAGAATTTAATGACGTCAAAAATCACGTTGTGCTTATGCGTCGCGCAGTTCTTATTCATCACAAGGCCTGTCATAACCTACTTTCTGATTATCAATATGGATTTCGATCTTCTTGTTCTACAGCTGATTTGCTAACAGTAATAACCGATAGGTTTTATTGCGCATTAGATAAAGGTAGAGAGGTTTAGGCCATCGCTCTTGACATTTCTAAAGTGTTTGATAAAGTTTGGAATGTTGGTCTTCTCCATAAGCTTTCTTCTTACGGTGTATCTGGAAACATTGCTTGTAGGGGGCATCTGAGCTTGAAAAGGATCTCACTTCTGCTACAGCATGGGGCTCACAGTGGCTGGTGAACTTTAATTCAGATAAAACTCAATTTTTTTCAGCCAATCGTTATCGCAATAACTTAGACCTTCCTATATTTATGAACGGTAATATACTCTATGAGTCTCCTACCCTTGATCTTCTAGGATTAACTCTTACTTCTGATCTTTCTTGGAAACCTTATATCAAATCCGTTGCAAAATTAGCATCTGCTAAAGTCGCTTCTTTTTATCAAGCTCATCACTTTCTTACTCTAGATTCTATTCTCTATCTCTATAAATCTCAAATCCGGCCTTGTATGGAATACTGTTGCCATATCTGGGGTGGATCTTCTAATGATGCCCTTTCTCTTTTAGACAAAGTTCAAAAACGCATTGTAAACATAGTTGGACCTGCTCTTGCAGTCAACCTTCAACCTCTGTCACATCGTCGTAATGTTGCTTCTCTTTCTCTTTTCTACAAATACTATCAAATACTTTTCTACAAATACTATCAAATACTATCAAATACACAAGAGACGCTAGCTCTAAAGAGCAAGCGTCTCTTGTGCCATCTACTAAAATTCATTCTCGTGTTACTCGTCATTCAATTAAGTCTCATCCTTTTTCTGTTACTGTTCCTAAGTGCTCCAAAAACTCTTATTCGTCTAGTTTTTTTCCTCGAACATCAGTTCTTTGGAATTCGCTTCCTTCATCTTGCTTTCCTGATTCATACAATTTGCAATCTTTTAAGTCGTCTGTCAACCGTTATCATTCTCTACAATCTTCATCTTTTCTCTTCCAGTAACTTCCAACACTAATTAGTGGTTGCTTGCAGCGTTGTTGGAAGCGAAGATGTTAAAATATATATATATATATATATATATATATATATATATATTAATTATTCAGTTTAAATAATATATGCCTACTAGAGTTACATTATTATCAACAAATTAACACTAGCAGTTATATTAATGTAAATTCAAATTAGTAGT